TGACCACATTGACAGTGTCGGAAATTTATTAGATTTGCATGGAATAGATCATTATTTAAGGTACTAGCTCTGTTTCTTAATCTGGTATGTAAAATGTTAAGTTTTCTATCACCAATCAGATAATATTTTGGAACATATAAATTTTGAAGATTTAGGAGAGAATTCTTAAACGCTGTATGTGAAACTCTGTGTCTTATGTCTAGGTCTAATTGGTTTCAAAGTCGGATTGTAGAAGGGAAAAAGGATGAGTTTGAAAGTTGAAGTCGGAAATTAGGAAGAGAATAATTATCGGCATTACGGAGGTTGTATTGTGAATTTTCTGAGACAAGAGGAGACAGTAGAGAAGTAAGATAGGTTGGCGTGAAATTATTGTGAATTTTGTAGAATAGTTATCTCCTAGATCTTCTCTAAGATAAGGGTTCGAATCCACTTTCAGAGTATAAAGATGTTCTGCTAGAATAAGAGGGAAACCCGTGATTATCCGTGCAGACTCAAGTTGAAGTTTTTCTAGTTTGTCTGCGTCACCGAGAGTACACCCATCCCATTACTCGCAACAGTATTCTAGTAATGGAAGAATATAGGATCTGTATATTTTATTAAGAGTTGGTCTATTTAATATATATTTTAGACAGACCTATAAAAAAAAAGTCGATAAAACTAACGTTCTGCATATATACTCCGAAGAGTAAAGCTTTAAACTATAATGGAGTCCATGGAACATACGTTACTCGGTGAGAGATATACAGGCCCAATGTGCCTCTTGTGTAATAGTTATATACACGATTGACAATCAGTGTGCTATATTTATGTTTGCTTACGACATGTTAAAACAGATAGCACAACTATCGTATTACCGACGCCAATCTATCTGATGGAACAGAGGTTGGATTTCAGATCCTGCTGGAGTAGACAACGCCATAGAGACTGATAACTGTGACCGTATATAAAGTTACGATGTATTAGTAATTCTAGCTTATTGTATAACACAATCAGTGGGGTTATTTTGGAGCATTGATTTTTATGGGGATTTTTTTTTACACAAACGAAAGCGCATGTATCTAATTTACAAATAAAAACCCATTGATCAGTGCCAAATCTGACAATATCTGTACAGGTTTTTGAATACTTTTTTAACTTGATAAAACATTGATCGACCGGATCAAGGTTGACACTATTAGATCACTTAAAGATTTCAAAGGATTGTATGTTCACTCAGCCACACTATGTGTGGAACAAGAGGTCCCGTGTATATGATACATATTTACACACATTCATGGTGAAAATAATGCTGAATATGTGACTAATTTATATGCAAACTTGAATATGTGACTTATTTATATGCAAACTTATACAGTACGTACAACGTACTATCATTACAGAGTACATTTTTAGTGTCTATCCATCCTTTACGCATCATTTCCCCCACATGTACAGGTATATCAACATGTACGATGCATGATACATCAACGTTAGGATATAATAGCGTTATGTAGGTCAAGACCCAGAAATGGTAACATATATGTGCAATTATTTGAATATATGTTAATTTGGCGTTCCATAAAAGGCTTTCCTTTGAACCCCAATTTAGGTTCACACTTTGAAACCTATTGCTGTTGTTATTACAGTGTATGTGGAACTTAGGTCGCAAGAAATGCAGTTAGAAGCTAGTCTAGATAAAATATAGTATAAGAAGTGTATATAGGGTAATGGTGATTTTTTTTGCGAAGAAACAATTTTAAAATAATTCTTGTAAAATGTGGAAAACTAAAGAAATCAATATTTTGCAGCCATATGTGCGTTTTTGTTTTGTTTTGAAGGGCTGGGGGTCTGAAGTAATATACATTAAACACTATCTATATTAGTAGCACGTGTAAGAATAGGCTACAAGGTAGAGAGCTGACAAGGTGTGTTTTTCCCGCCGTTTATCCTATGTACAATTATTATTTTAGAAGGAAATATAATAGTATGAACAGAAGGAAATAACGCATACGAATAATGTTGTACTAAGGAATATATATGGATTCACAATTTCACAATTTTCCATCGCATATTGCTCAAGAAGGTGTGTGGTATTGACAACCATCTATTGGTTGAGAGAGCCCGACCTTCAAGTCCCCGAACCAATCAGACACGAGCGACTATCGACCACTGCGGTTGTTTACAATATACAGCGCGGAAGATACATGTTATAGACGTTGTGAGGTAAGACTGACGTGAAATAAGCTCGTAAAACCTGTGTTTGTTCCCTAATCCAATCAACTGGTATGTATGTACGTTTAAATTTGACAACAATCTACCCACTTTCACAAAACATGAACCGGTGCGTTGCTAAAAATATGGTCGTCCCCCGTTAGACGTCGACAGTAGCAGGGCACCTCTAATGCCCGCCTAACGGGAGTGTACGGTACTTGTTACGGTGTTAATAGTGTCAGCGACGGTGTTAATTGTCAGAGGTCACTCGTGTCCACCTGTGGTAATTAGCGGCCCAATACAGTGGTTCTTGTATAACCGTATGATTTGTTCAAATGTATACATGTACAGACATTTATAAGAAACGGGGCCACATCAAGGGACATTTAATTACTCAACAAAAACAAGTCTAGCTGTTGTTGACTGTCCATGTACGTAGAAACAAAACATGTTATATATAATTGATATATTTATATCCATCAGAAACTTTGGAAACCTTTAAAAGTCGTCTCTCCTCTCTTCACAATTTAGCTCTGTTCTCACTCTCTTTTCCTGTACATTATAAAACTCAAACATCGACATGATCTTCAATATGATGGAGTTAGGTCGATTATCAGTAGAAGTAGAAGTAATGATTATAAGCAATTAAGGATTGCTAGTCTGGCTATTTATAGCATCACTCAGTCACTGTCCGCAGAATTTAGCCATATATCAATCTCAACAACTTTAATAGTGTGAATGACAATATATTTACCTAAGGACTTAGCAAAAAGTGTAAGTGATATGCCATTATGTTTACCTAAGAACTGACTATTCCGTCTTTGCGTATTGCAGAGTTATCTTCTCTTGGGAGCAGGTATTGATTGTTACGTCATTGGTCTATGTGAGAAAATTATGTCGTTTTCTCAAACATTGATGACGTTATTCTCACAAACAAGTGACGTAACAATCAATCCCTGCTCCAAAGAGAAGATAACTCTGCAATACGCAAAGACGGAATAAGTAAAAGTAGTTACAATAACATGTTTAGAAGTTCCACATCTACATAGTATAAACTGTAAATCTGTCTTAAGTGAAATTTTACTTTCAAACAACATTAATATGAATCAAACTGTGAAAACTGTTTTAACTGCGTCTATATTTCTGTACAATGTAGGGCCTTCTCAGACATATCTTTGAGATTGTCACAAGAAAAATAGCTTTATCATTGATCGAGATTCATAGATAGGTATTATACTATATTTTGAGTAAGATAAGACACAGGCAGCATACAAGTCAAGGTTACAGAGAGAGGTCAAGTGTCAGATTACTAGAACGCTTGACCCGGTCATCATTAATCAATTAGGAAAAATTGATTAATTGAATCATGAAATGAAAGGAACCACATACAAAGCTAAAATGTTACTTTTTGTTGTTTTGAGCATAAATATATGAGGATTGAAATGCATGTTTTCACATTGATGACAATTATACCATTCCATTTAAATGTATTCTCCAAGATGGGGTACCTTGCATTATTGTATAGGTTTGAACCAGATTGTGTTGCATAGCCAATGCAGAAGGTTGTCTTCTAGCTTTGAGCTAGCTTAATTTGTAGAACGCCACACAACTCTCTTTTCTTTTACAACCCCACAAATGTTAAAAAAATGCATTTCACTGGTTACATTGTACAAACAGGTAATACATTGTACACGATAAACAGAGTGAACAATGTTATTAGCCATGCATTATGTCACAAAGTCACATATAGAATAGCATTATGTTACAGAGTCACATATAGAATAGCATTATGTTACAGAGTCACATATAGAATAGCATTATGTTACAGAGTCACATATAGAATAGAATTATGTTACAAAGTCACATATAGAATAGAATTCTGTTACAAAGTCACAATAGCATTATGTTACAAAGTCACATATATGATAGAATTATGTTACAAAGTCACATATATAATAGCATTGTGTTACAGAGTCACATATAGAATAGAATTATGTTACAAAGTCACATATAGAATAGAATTATGTTACAAAGTCATATATAGAATAGTATTATGTTACAAAGTCGCATATAGAATAGCATTATGTTACAGAGTCACATATAGAAGAGAATTATGTTACAAAGTCACATATAGATTAGAATTCTGTTACAAAGTCACAATAGCATTATGTTACAAAGTCACATATAGAATACAATTATGTTACAAAGTCACATATAGAATAGAGTTCTGTTACAAAGTCACAATAGCATTATGTTACAAAGTCCCATATATGATAGAATTATGTTACAAAGTCACATATATAATAGCATTGTGTTACAGAGTCACATATAGAATAGAAGTATGTTACAAAGTCACATATAGAATAGTATAATAGCATTGTGTTACAGAGTCACATATAGAATAGAAGTATGTTACAAAGTCACATATAGAATAGAGTTATGTTACAGAGTCACATATAGAATAGAATTATGTTACAGAGTCACATATAGAATACCATTATGTCACAAAGTCACATATAGAATAGCATTATTTTACAGAATCACATATAGAATAGTATGATGTAACAAAGTCACATATAGAATATCATTATGTTACAAAGTCACATATAGAATAGTATTACGTTACAAAGTCACATATAGAATAGAATTATGTTACTAAGTCACATATAGAATAGAATTCTGTTACAAAGTCACAATAGCATTATGTTACAAAGTCACATATATAATAGCATTGTGTTACAGAGTCACAAATAGAATAGAATTATGTTACAAAGTCATATATAGAATAGTATTATGTTACAAAGTCACAAATAGAATAGAATTATGTTACAAAGTCATATATAGAATAGCATTATGTTACAAAGTCAGATATAGAATAGTATTATGTTACAAAGTCACATATAGAATAGTATTTTGTTACAAAGTCACATATAGAATAGAATTATGTTACAGAGTCACATATAGAATAGTATTATGTTACAAAGTCACATATAGAATAGCATTATGTTACAGAATCACATATAGAATAGTATTATGTAACAAAGTCACATATAGAATATCATTATGTTACAAAGTCACATATAGAATAGTATTATGTTACAGAGTCACATATAAAATAGCATTATGTTACAAAGTCACATATAGAATAGCATAATGTTACAGAGTCACAAATAGAATAGTATTATGTTACAAAGTCACATATAAAATAGTATTATGTTACATATAGAATAGCATTATGTTACAGAGTCACATATAGAATAGCATTATGTTACAAAGTCACATATAGAATAGCATTATGTTACAGAGTCACATATAGAATAGTATTATGTTACAAAGTCACATATAGAATAGTATTATGTTACAAAGTCACATATATAATAGTATTATGTGACAAAGTCACATATAGAATAGTATAATGTGACAAAGTCACATATAGAATAGTATTATGTTACAAAGTCACATATAGCATAGCACTATGTTACAAAGTCACACATGTATAGAATAGCATTATGTTACAAAGTCACATATAGAATAGCATTATGTTACAAAGTCACATATAGAATAGCATTATGTTACAAAGTCTCATATAGAATAGCATTATGAATAGCATTATGTTACAAAGTCTCATATATAATAGCATTATGAATAGCATTATGTTACAAAGTCACATATAGAATAGCATTATGTTACAAAGTCACATATACAATAGCATTATGTTACAAAGTCACATATAGAATAGCATTATGCTACGAAGTCACATATAGAATAGCATTATGTTACAAAGTCACATATAGAATAGCATTATGTTACAAAGTCACATATATAATAGCATTATGTTACAAAATCACTTATACAATAGCGTTATGTTACAAAGTCACATATAGAATAGCATTATGTTACAAAGTCACATATANNNNATTATGTTACAAAGTCACATATAGAATAGTATTATGTTACAAAGTCACATATAGAATAGAATTATGTTACAAAGTCACATATAGAATAGTATTATGTTACAGAGTCACATATAGAAAAGTATTATGTTACAAAGTCACATATGGAATAGAATTATGTTACAAAGTCACACATGTATAGAATAGTATTATGTTACAAAGTCACATATGGAATAGCATTATGTTACAAAATCACATATAGAATATCATTATGTTACAAAGTCACATATAGAATAGCATTATGTTACAAATTACAAAGTCACATATATAATAGCATTATGTTACAAAATCACTTATAAATAGCATTATGTTACAAAATCACATATATAATAGCAGTATGTTACAAAATCACTTATACAATAGCGTTATGTTACAAAGTCACTATATATAATAGCATTATGTTACAAAATCACATATATAATAGCATTGTGTTACAGAGTCACATATAGAATAGCCTTATGTTACAAAGTCACACATAGAATAGCATTATGTTCCAAAGTCACAATGAATAGCATTATGTTACAAAACCACATATAGAATATCATTATGTTACAAAGTCATATATAGAATAGCATTATAAAGTCACACATGTATATAATAGTATTATGTTACAGAGTCACATATAGAAAAGTTCACATATAGAATAGTATTAAGTTACAAAGTCACATATCGAATAGCATTATGTTACAAAAAAGTCACATATAGAATAGCATAATGATACAAAGTCACATATAGAGTAGCACTACATTACAAAGTCACATATATAATAGCATTGTGTTACAGAGTCACATATAGAATAGTTACAGAGTCACATATAGAATAGCACTGTGTTACAAAGTCACATATGTTACAGAGTCACATATAGAATAGAATTATATTACTAAGTCACATATAGAATAGCCTTATGTTACAAAGTCACTTATAGAATAGCATTATGAATAGCATTATGTTACAAAATCACTTATAAATAGCATTATGTTACAAAATCACTTATAAATAGCATTATGTTACAAAATCACATATATAATAGCATTGTGTTACAGAGTCACATATAGAAAA